ATGGGGGTGGAACTAAACTGGGTGTCAGCCAAGAATTCAAGTAGTGTCTGTCCTTCTAGGAAGGTCCACAAAGAGGCTCTTAGTCAACTCATCAACCGCGAATTCTTTTTTTTCTCTTTTTTTTTTTTCCTTTTTGGGTCACACTTGGCAATGCACAGGAGTTACACCTGGTCCATGCACTCAGGAATTACTCTTGGCGGTGCTCGGGGGACCATATGGGAGGCTGGGAATTGAACCTAGGTCTACTGCGTGCAAGGCAAACGCCCTACCTGCTGTGCTATTGCTCCAGCCCCCTCAACCGCGAATTCTTAAAGCAACCACCATCCCCATTCCGAAGCCACTTTGAAGCTGTACAGGGAGTTGAGGTCCAAGGGGAGGCATAGAGCTTGGTGTGTCTACCTGGGCCCCCGTAGTCTGGAGACTAACCCAGGAGAAGACTTTCGGGAGTGAACTCTAGAGCAGATGTCAGCTGTCCAGAGATGGCAACTGGCTGCCGGAGCTGCGTTCCACTGAATCTCCAGAATGTCCATGAGCCTGGAAAGATTAGGAGCGCTTGGGCAAGATCCAGGAGGCATTGTTAGATGCATGCTGAAGGAAGGAACTGGGGAATGGGATCCTCCTCTCTGGCTTCACATCTCCATCGGTCAATGTTGCAAATCTATCGTTTCTTTGTTTTGGGGTTTGTGGCCACATCTGGAAGTGCTCACGACTGACTCCTGACTCTGGGAACAGGGGATTCCATGTGGGGCTGGGAATCAAACCGGGGGGCGGGGGAGCTGTGTGCAAGCCAACACCTTCCCCTCTTGTACTAGCTCTCCTACCCCACTCTCTGTTTCTCAGTGGGGGAGGAAGAGCACCAAAGGATAGTTAGGTTTAGAGCCAAATCAATGGACTTGGTTTTAAATTCTGGTCCAGGGGATATGGTGCCGCCAGCAGGTCAATCTGTACCTGTGAGGCGAGTGCATCAGCAACCTCATGGCGCCTTCAGACTTCCAGATACCCCAAAATTGCTGCTGTGCCTTTGGCCAGACCCCAAAAACTTGGAGCAAAGTTCACCAAGAAAGTAAATGGTCAAAAGTTAGGTATGTGGGAGACACACCCACAAACCACCTCCGGCTCAGCTATATAATTGGAGGCATGTCCTCTCTGGTTCATGATCGAACTGCTTAACAGCCATGATCCCAGAGACTCAGAAACAAATCTCGAAACCCAATGGCTTTTGGCAGAAACGTGTCCAGTCCCTGCAGTGGATTGCAGGTGCCTGCTGAGCAACCCCAGGTGGGAATAGGTTTCGTGCCTTGGCTTGTTCCCCCTGGCGGTTCAGTGGCCATCATCCTCCAGAGGCCACTGGACAGTCAGGTTTGGGCCCGCAGTGACGAGACACGCGGGGCCTCATGGAATGGGGGTGGAGCCGGTCTTTTCTTCTCACCTGAACGAGACCCCGAGTTGCCGCCCATGAACGGCCTCTCTGGTTCCTGATCAAGCTGCTTAATGGCCATGATCTCAGAGACTCAGAAACAAATCTCGGAACTCAGAAGCTTTTGGCAGAAATGCGTCTGGACCATGCAGAGGTTACCGGTGCTGGGCCACCCCAGGTGGGAATAGATTTTGTGCCTTGGCTTGTTTCCCCGGCGGCTTGGTGGCTGCCATCCTCCAGAGGCCACTGGACAGTCAGGTTTGGGCCCACAGTGATGAGACACGCGGGGCCTCATGGGATGGGGGTGGAGCCGGCCCTTTCCTCCCCGCCCCAACAAGGCCCTGATTCACCGTCCACAAATGGCCTCTCTGGCTCCTGATCAAGCTGCTTAACAGCCATGTTCCCAGAGACTCAGGAACAAATCTCAGAATCCAGCAGGTTTTGGCAGAAATCCCTCCAGATTTAATTGTTAAAATTTCAGAATTCCAAAATCATATGTTATTTATAACCAGCAATCGATTTGCTCGAGCGGGCCCAGTAACGTCTCCATTGAGACTTTGTTGTTACTGTGTTTGGCATATCGAATACGTCATGGGGAGCTTGCCAGGCTCTGCCGTGCGGGCAAGATACTCTCGGTAGCTTGCCGGGCTCTCCGAGAGGGGTGGAGGAATTGAACTCGGGTCGGTCATGTTAGCTGCATGCAAGGCAAACGCCCTACCGCTGTGCTATCGCTCCAGCTAACCAGCAATAGAAAACAAATTGTCTACTGTTGCCTTTCGGCAGATCTGAGTGTTGGGGTAAAATCCCAACTAATAATGGTGGGTCTGGTGTTGAAATATTGAATGTAATCAAAGTAGAGAGAGAGAGTTGTGGAAATCATCTGCCTCACAGGCAGGAGGGTGTGGGATGGGGGTATACTGGGGTTTTTGGTGGTGGAAAATGGGCACTGGTGAAGGGATGGGTGTTTCATTGTATGACTGAGACTTAAACCCTAAAGCTTTGTAACTGCTCTCATAGTGATTCAATAAATAAAATCATAAAAAAATGGGAAAAAAGTAAGGTGGAGTTCATGCACAATTCAATCAGCCTAATCAGTGGCTGAATAAATAGCAGAACTCCTACATTTAAAAAAAATAAATTATGGTCCAGCCATATGCTGACTCTGTGGATTTGGGGGAGCCTTAAATAACTTCTGATAAATGAAAGTTTCTTTAAGTTCACCCAGGTGCCTCATGTAAAGGCAAGTGGAAGAAGAAGCAATTCATGAATTCAACACCTGCATCAATCTGTCAATCAACAGAATCCTACCGCAAGGCTTTGCTGTCAGGATTCAACACCCAAGCATGGATGCATGATACTAGAGATAAGGTCCTATGACGTAGTGGTTCATTCAATACATCTCAATAAATCTCAGTTCTTGCCATCCTGGAATTGTATGGGGGCTAACTTAGAGACCCCAGTGCTTCCTTGCCCCTGAAAGATAAGATTACTGAAGCATGAAAAACCACCAGAAGGAGCCACCCATAAATTTGTTTCACCCTAAGGAAAGGATCAAAGGAACCAACATTTAAAGCCATGGCATCTGCCCAAATGGCTTCAGCTCCCGAGAGCTGGGGCCGGCTGGCAGAGGTGCAGCTGCTAATGGAAGTTCTGGGAATTCAGTCTCTTGGCTTTGCCAACCTCAACAGCCAGAGCACCAGCAACCAACCTGCGTGTTCCACGTGGGCAGCTGCCAACCTATGAGCATCACCCTTCAGTGACACAGTCTTCTGCAGTAGGCACTGACTCTGGGGAAATAGGATTTTTCTCCTGTTGATAGGGAGGGTGCACGCCTAGCTTGAATGAATTCAGCTCATGAAACCACTGAATTCCATTTTTAGTATTTTTTCCCCCTTTTTGGGTCACACCCAGTGATTCACAAGGGTGAATCTCTTGGCTCTGCACTCAGGAATTACTCCTGGCGGTCCTCAGGGGACCCTATGGGATGCTGGGAATCAAATCCGGGTCGGCTGCGTACAAGGCAAACACCCTCCCCACTGTGCTATCGCGCCAGCCCCAGAATTCCATTTTTAATTTAGACTGTCTCCAAGTCACAAGAGCCTTCTTTCATCCTTAGAGGAGAGTTAATCTGGAGGATTATTACATCCAGAGACATGCATAGGAAGCAGGTGACTGAAAACATGGTACAAGTATGATAGAAAATTAAAATAAAAACCACTTCAGTCATTCCTCGATTTTTTTTTTAACAGAGAAGCGGCTCTGCCACCAGCACACTGCCACTTGGTTCCAGTAACTCATGAATTCAAAACCTGTACCAATCAACAGTGTTTGCTCCAGAGAAGGAAGGGAAATCTGAAGTGTTTGGGGGTATAGGGGAGGTAAGAAGTTAGGGGCGGGGGCTGGGGCGATAGCACAGTGGGTGTAGGGTGTTTGCCTTGCACGTGGCCGACCCAGGTTTGATTCCCAGCATCCCATAGGGTCCCCCAAGCACCACCAGGAGTAATTCCTGAGTGCATGAGCCAGGAGTGACCCCTGTGCATCGCCGGCCAGGTGTGACCCAAAAAGAAAAAAAAAAGGGAGGCAGGGGCACTCGGTTCGTGTTTAGCGATTGCTTCGCACCTTGATTTGTAGTTTGTAGCTTTCTCTGATTCCAGCAGTGTAAATTCTCTGCTCATGGCTGAGTCCGTGATCGTCATTACCAATGGTTATTTCTGAACACAAAGTTGTGTAGAGTCAACTCTTGTGTGCTGCTTGGGTCAGGCTCCCACACATCAATGAACAAAAGGGACTTTTAACATGGACTTTCAATACTTAGGTAATATCTCTTTTGTTTCCTTCAGAGCTTTGCATTATTTTTGGAATTGTAGATGAACATATAATCTAACTAGGTTATCGCTGCACATAAAGTCACACACACACACACACACACACACACACACACACACGCACACATTAACTTTCCCATATCTGTAGAGGGCTCAGTCCTACTGAAGCTTTTGTGTTGTTTTGGTTTTGAGCCATTCCTGGCACTGTTCAGGGCTTATTCCTGGCTCTGCACTCAGGAATTATTCCTGATGGTGTTCGGAGGGATCATATGGGATGCTGGGGATTGAAACCAGGTCGGCTGCGTGCAAGACAAGCAGGCAAGCATCCTACCTGCTGTACTATCTTTCCAGCCCCCTAACGCTGGTATTAAATAAATCAGAGGGAATACATCTGAAAGACCTACAGAAGTCCGTAACACATGGTGGTGGGGGTGGTTCTCCCCAGTCAGATGGCTGTGGGGTTCCTCACATCAACCGGAACAGCCATTCTGCTGTTCTAGCCCAGAACTGGCATAGAAAACATCTTGGTGGAGCGTGGAACCGGAAGCTACAGGGGGAAGTGAGCAGTTGTGTGGTGGATGAGGGGAGACGGTGGGAAGCTGGATCAAAGTTTAGCAGGCCAAGGGGAAGAAAGGCGTCAGAAAGGTCACAGGATGAGAAAAAATAAAACAGGGAGAACAGAGAGTGTAAACTTGCTGTTTATCGATTTTGCTCTGTACACGGATGTGTGTCTCGGCAGCTTCTCACAGGAGCGGGAGGGAGGGAGGGGGGAAGGAACAGTCCGGACTCTGGTTGATTGAACGCACTGTTTGCTGGTCACATCACAACTCGATACAGACAGCCCAGCGGAGCGCAGGGCACAGACTCTTGATCTCGTCAATGTAAACACAACACGAATAGTGAAGATTCGAGGGAATGGGGAGAGGGGACAAGTCCAGTGTCTCGTCCTGGCATCAGCGTCCTGGCAAAGGCGCTGACGGACCCTTGTCTGGGTCCCGAGAAAGACTGGCATGGTGACCCCATCCCTTCCTGTCGTGAAGCCCACCCACTTTTCCTGCAGCTCTCTCCCGGATGTGCCCATCTTCAGCCTGGAGTGGGCACGGATGGTTCAAGTTCTTCAGAATGCCTGAGAGGTTGGCGTGCGCCGAGAGAGCTCCTTCCGAGCCCTACGAGCTGCCCACTGCCCATAGACTGTGACCCTTTTCAGATGGTTTCTGCGGAGCCCCAGGATTCTAGAGAGGAGGGAATTTAGTGCCGGGGGTGACCCCCTAAGCGCTCCTGTAGGAAGCTGCCCAATTAAACACTGACTGGAGATGCTAGTCCTTTGTGCCTGGCCACCGTTGGTTGAGGCAGTTGATTTTTTTTTTTAATCCCATAACCTTAAAAAAATCAGATTTCCTGGTTTGGAAATTCTTCAACACAAATGAAAGACATAAAAAAAAAAATTCCCCCTTCCCTCTTGCCCATCACCCACAAACAAACAAATCTAAACAAGAATGACCTTGAGGCTTAAGAACCAACCAGTCACACCTCCAGAGCCCTCCAGGTACCCAATGTCCCTTCCCTCACTGGCTTTTGCCAAGTGGTTGGTTCTGATCATTGGTTTTCCGTCCCCTTCCATATCGAGCTGGACTACAGGGCAAAGAAGTACTTTTCCTCTGAACGAAGAGACACGTTTGCTTTTATTTCCTGGGATGGGTAACCCCCAGCACCCTGACTTCCTTTTCTTAAAAAAAGCAACAAGACCATCCGACAGACCCTCTTGGATATGGTTTTATGGGCGGAGAACCCTTTTGCTTGCTCACCCCTCTACATCCCGGGCTTGAAAACTGTGTAGACAGACTGATTTTCCAGACTCGGGGAGTGTTGAGTCATGGGGCGGAAGGGGTGAGAGGGGTTCCTTGTCCCAGATCTCCGCAGTGAGAGCAGCTTTGTGGGGCCAAAGAGACAAAAGAAAAACAAATGAACAAAACAAAAAGCACTGCTCGATGTTTGAGTGTGAAGGCAGGGCCCCACGTGGCCCCTGGCTCTCCTCCTGCAGAACGTCTCTCCCGAGGACGGGCTTTCTTGGTGCTAGCTATTGTTCTCCGCGGTGAGATATTTGAGGGCAGCAAAGCCATAACGGCGAGACATGTCCTGCTGGAACTCCTCCTTCAGGGTTTTGAGACAGATGCGGTATTGCTTGTTAGACCGGAACTTGGTGATGTCAAAGCTGGGGGCGTGAGGCATGTGGATCATGTATGCATTGGGTAGCACAGTGAACTCGTACTCCTGGAAGGAGACAAGAGCAGTGAGCGCTGGCCAGTGTCCCCCTTCACCACTGGATGTCTGAAACCCAATCAGGCATGACTGTGCAACTTCTGAAACACAGTTATGAACTGCTCTGACTTCTGAAATCCAGCTATGAATGACTCTAATTTCTGAAAACCAACCATGAATGATTGTAACTTCTGAAACCCAACCATGAATGACTCTGTAACTTCTGAAACCCAACCATGAATGACTCTGTAACTTCTGAAACCCAACCATGAATGACTCTGTAACTTCTGAAACCCAACCATGAATGACTCTAATTTCTGAAACCCAACCATGAATGACTGCAACTTCTAAAACCCAACCACTAATGGCTGTAACTTCTAAAACTCAACCATAAATGACTGTAACTTTTGAAATCAAACCATGAATGAATGTAACTTCTGAAACGAAACCATAAATGAATGTAACTTCTGAAACCCAACCATGAATGACTGTAACTTCTGAAACCCAACCATGAATGACTGTAACTTCTGAAACCCAACCATGAATGACTGTAACTTCTGAAACCCAACCATGAATGACTGTAACTTCCGAAACCCAGGATGACTGTAACTTCTGAAACCCAACCATGAATGACTGTAACTTCTGAAATCCAACTATAAATGACTGTAATTTCTGAAAACCAACCATGAATGATTGTAATTTCTGAAACCCAACCATGAATGACTCTGTAACTTCTGAAACCCAACCATGAATGACTCTGTAACTTCTGAAACCCAACCATGAATGACTCTGTAACTTCTGAAACCCAACCATGAATGACTCTAATTTCTGAAACCCAACCATGAATGACTCTAATTTCTGAAACCCAACCACTAATGGCTGTAACTCCTAAAACTCAACCATAAATGACTGTAACTTTTGAAATCAAACCATGAATGACTCTGTAACTTCTGAAACCCAACCATGAATGACTCTAATTTCTGAAACCCAACCATGAATGACTGCAACTTCTAAAACCCAACCACTAATGGCTGTAACTTCTGAAACCCAACCATGAATCACTGTAACTTCTAAAACCCAACCATGAATGACTGTAACTTCTAAAACTGAACCATGAATGACTGTAACTTCTGAAACCCAACCAGGAATGACTCTGTAACTTCTGAAACCCAACCATGAATGACTCTGTAACTTCTAAAACTGAACCACGAATGACTGTAACTTCTGAAACCCAATCATGAGTGACTGTAACTTCCGAAACCCAACCACGGATGACTGTAACTTCTGAAACCCAACCAGGAATGACTCTTCAACTTCTGGAGGGAGGGGGTGGGATATGACCCAATGATCCAGTGTATGAAAGAATGGCTCTGACAGCACCCTAGACAGCAGTGCCCTCTTGGAACGGGACCCTTCATGGCCCAATCGCATGATTCCTTTGAGCCTTTTTCTCCTCCTCTATGAAGCAGAGGCAATACTATCTACTTTGAAGCCCATGTGGTTAGTGCTGGGCAGATGGCCCGTAAAGAGAAAAGGCTCGTGAGGAAGGTGGGTTCACCCCCCATGTGGTTGTTAGAGTCTGGAATGACACACGCCATGGGGGTGTCTTGCTCTAGTCTCTGAAGCTTGTTGATGTTTTTCTCACAGGGCTGGAGATCTGATGGTCTCTACAGACTAGTTAAAAAGAGGGGACAGGAGCTGGAGTGATAGTACAGTAAGTAGGGCATTTGCCTTGCACACAGGAGTAACTCCTGAGTGCGGAGCCAGGAGTAACCCCTGGGCATTGCTGGGTGTGACCCAAAAAACAAAAAAAAAGAGGGGACGAAAAATAAGGCAAGGAGGGGGGAAAATAGGTTCCACAGGACTGAAGTTCCTTCTGTATACAAAATTGTCACCTATACACCCTTATCCTATACTACTCTGTCGGGGGGGGGGGGGGTGTTCCATTATGGAAACAGAATTCATAAACGGATAAAATATAAGACCCCCAAATGAAAGGCCTGCTTGGAGATCTCAAAAGAGGGAACACAAATCCAGTTGCACCTGTGTGACTTGACTCCCACCCATGTCATTTGAGTCACATGTGTGTCATCCGAAGGAGGACCCAGCTCATCTTCCCTCGGAATCCATGTACTCTGGTTCAGAATGTTGTATCTGCCTAGTGGTGGTCATGTCTCACCCCAGCCCTGAGCAGGTCAGAACAGACTCAGAAGGGGACATGAGGAGCACTGAGAGAGAGTGCTTGACCAGAGTAGTCCCCGAAGGACCGTGAGGTGCACAGTGAGGCGGGAGGGAGACCCGCCATGAAAAATGTAAGAACCACCAGAGTTTGTGTGTCTGGGCCATTTCCTGTGGGGACCCCAAGCCCTGGCAGCTGTGCCAGCCCCACCCGTTGGCATGGATGGACTCCCTGTCAGGTGCTCACTCAACCATTTCCTTCCTTTGCTGGGAAGGGCTGATTCTATGAGGCATGTGCGTTTTCTTGGCCAAGAGAGGAAAACTAGTCAGCACATGTTCTCCAGTTCTGTCAGAGCCATTTAAAACAAAACCCAAATCTCTATTCTGGAAAAACCGAGTATCTGTGGACCAGGTCGCCTTCCCCGCTTGCTGGATTCATGGATACGATTGACACACCTTCTCTTTCAGACAGAAGTGGAGCCTATTAGATGTTGCCTGAGTAGGCTGGAATCCTAGGGCTCTGGGAACCACAAACCCTCATGGCCAGCTTTCCTGCCCTTAAATGACCCTTTCTGGACTTTTACCTATAGCACTAATTCTTTTTTTTAAATAAAAACGTTTTAATTGAATCACGGTGGGATAGATCTTCACAAAGCTGATTGGGTTTCAGTCGTACAGTGTTCCAACACGCATCCCTCCACCAGTGTACATTTCCCAGCACCAGGGTCCCCCGGGTTCCCTCCCATCATCCCCCACCCCTCATCCCCTGCCTGCCTCTTCTCTCTCTCTCTTTCTCTCTCTCTCTTTCTCTCTCTCTCTTTCTCTCTCTCTCTCTCTTTCCTTTTGAGCTTTGTGGTTTGCAATATTGATACTGAAAGGTTATCAAGAATATTCCTTTAAATGCCCTGCCACAGAGGCAGGGTGGGATGGGGGGGATGGGGGGTGGGAGGGATACTGGGATCCATGGTGGTGGAAAATGGGCACTGGTGGAGGGATGGGTACTTGACCATTGTATAACTGAAACCCAAGCACAAAAATTTGTAAGTCTACAACTGTACCTCATGGTGTTTCACTAATAAAAATTAAAAAAAAAAAGAATATCCCTTTACCTACCTTTAACCCTCAGATCTTGTCTAGCGTAATCATTCCCAGCTATTATTGTCAAACTGGTCTCTTCTCTATCTACCGACCCTCAGCCCCACACAATCTTGTGGTTAGTTCCAACCATCGACCCGTCCTCCTAACCTCTGTTTTCCCTGGCCGTGGATATTTATCTTATCTCTCTATCTTTTTTATACACCACAACTGAATGCAGTCATTCTGCATCTGTCCCCCTCCTTCTGACTCATTTTACTCAGCAGGATACTCTGCATGGCCATTTATTTATAGGCCAATTTCATGACTTCATTTTCCCTGACAGTATAGCACTAATTTCTACCCCTTACTGGTGTTTATGCTAAGATCGTCTGGGATACTCATTCAGACAGAGGATCAGCTGGGATGTTCTTCAAGGGACCCTCTGTCAGATACAGAGACAGAGAGGATGCTTGAGAGCTCCACAAAGTATCCCCAGCCCAATCACTATTTTACAGGAAAAATTTGCGACCTCTGGCTTCACATTCGAATTCTGCAGATTTCCTTTGAAGTAGGAGCCCAATAAGTAACTGTTAAGTGAAAGACAGGGTTTGATGCCTAAGAACCATCTCTTAGGGGCTGGAGAGATGGAACACTGGGGAAGGTGTCCGCCTTGCCTGTGGTCAACCTGGCTCCTATCCCTGGCACCACATAAGGTTCCCTGAGCACCGCCCAGAGTGACCCCTGAGCACAGAGCTAGGAGGAAGCCCTGAGCACAGCCGGGTGGGACCCAGGCAAGCCCTCCTTAAAAATAAGCATCACTTGTTAAGCCATCCGGCAGAGTGCTGAGCCGTGCGTCTGGGACTTGCAACACTCTCATCTCAATGATGGGACTCAGGGGTGACTATGAGTGGGTCAGATTTGCTTCTCTTCCTCACTGAGCTGAGTGTGAGGTTGGGGGGCTGGGCAGGAACTGGCTGGAACCCCCAGTCTCACCCAACGGTCAAAGCACGAAGTAGAGGGTGCAGATACACACCCCTGTCCCGCCCAGTTCTCTCTCCCTGTCCCTGAGCACTTCTTACTCCCTCTCTCCTGGGGCTGTGATATGGGTCCTCTGGCCCTTGGAATTCTCCAGTACATTTTCTCCTTTCCTGTCCGTCCCCCTCCCCACGCCCCCAGCTCCGACACCCTCCGCCCTTCTCACCTGCGCATCCAGTTCCATGATATGAGCCACCTTGTTCCAGCCGAAGCCCACAAACCTCCGGTCGTACTCGGGGCAGTCCCGCCTCACCACGACGTACGGCTCGAAGTCGGCCTCCCACTGCACCCGGTAAGGCGTGGTGGCAGTCCGCCACTTGGCGAAGTTGGTGGGTGCGTGGCCTTTCACCCACACGTGGTACCTGGGACACAGGGAGAACAGCCATGGGGGGCGGGAAGGGAGAGGCGGGCTTCCCAGGGGAGATGAGGAGACGGTGCCGTAAACTGCATCTCCCCAAGGACATGTCCTGCGCTCGCCCAGGGGCTTCTTCAGGCAACTGTATCTTTGCAGAATGAGGTCGGAATGCATTAGTGAGATAGTACAGAGGGGAGAGCCACGAGGGGTTTTCTAGCTTTTCTCTTTTCCTGTGTCCTTTGCATAGTTTAATCAGAGCAATGTCCTTTTTGTATGGACACAGGAAGACAGCTAATGCTATGCTTTTGTAACTTGGAAGTTAATTGACTCCAAATAATATTCACTCCTGGGCATCTGTTCTCTCAACTTAAGCCTCAGTTGCCCTTACTTCCTAGAACTCCCAAAGCAGGGTCCCAACAAGGGACTGGATGGACCCAGGGCAAGCTGTGAGCTACCCTGACATCAAAATGGCCAGTCCAAAGCCATAATGCTTAACTGTAAGTTAAGAGCAGGGTAATGGACAAATTCTGTCATGATCCAAAAAGTAACATCTGGATTAGGACCCTTGCTAGAGTTAGGAAAGATTAGTCTGGCCTGAGCACTATAGTCTGAGATCTAAAGTGAGATGTTCCCAGGAGAGCCACCCTACAAGCTTAATATATCTCTTAGTGTGTCCATACAAAATAACTAATATTAAGAAGTAGAATTAAGATGTTAATTAAGAAGTTAATTAAGTTATTGGACTAAGGAGAGGAGAAACACCCCTAAGTGGTGTTTTGCCCTTGAGGGGAAGAAGGGCTTTCATATGATGATTTTGCTACCTGGGTGTGGTGGCTACCCCCAGTGCGGGGAGATGGTGAGAGACCATAGACCAAGACCAAGAGAGGGAGTGTGGAGAGACTAGCATAGGGGACAGGAGGAGGCGGGAATGAGGGGCAGTGTGAGACTGGAATGGGGAGCTTAGGGAGACTGGAACAGATGAATGGGGAGAATGGAATAAAGGGCAACTGACCACCAACCAGCCTGGCCCTCGTCTCCTCCTTCGTCTGCTCATGACTTCAGCCATCCCACGTGAGGGAGCAGCCCGAGACCATTGAATACAGGCAGCGAGATACAGGCAGCGAGAGACACTGGGGGTTTCCCAGCCGCCTGGTGGTTACACATTCAGACTCACAAAGACTCACACAAACTACTCATCAGCTCACACATGCACTCACACTCATGCTCAAACACACACACTCTTACACATGCACTCTCACACACATGCTTAAACACACACACACACTCAAACACACACATACACACACTCTGACACGCACGCATGAACTCACACACAAACTCAAACACACAGAGACACTCCCACAAACTCATTCATAAACTCACACATGCACTCACGCACATTCAAACATATATACACTCAGACCCTCACACAAACACACTCTCCCAGACTCACACACACATGCAAACGCACTCATCAACTCACACATACAGTCACGCTCAAACACACCCATATACTCAGGCACTCACACTTGTTCAAACACACACTCAGACACACAAACGCACACATATTCACAAACACATGCATACAAAGGGACACACACATGCTCAAACACACACACACTCAGACACACACACTCACCTTAACAGACACTCTCAGGCTCACACACAAACTGACTCGTAAACCCACACATGCACTCACACATACTCAAACACACACACTCACACCCTCACACAAATGCACACACATTCACAAACACACACCCATCCAGACAAATGTTCTCATACACACACTCATCTACTCACTCAGACACACACTCTCACACACTCATACACACACATTCACACACTCATACCAACTTACACACAGACACATACCCACGTTCACATAGACACATTCACATGCAAACTCACACTCACGTACACTATACAGTCACACACTACCTCACACACGCAAGCCCCCCACACTCACACAGACACCCACACTAACACACGCTCACAGACTCACACACTTGTACACACACATATTCACATCTACTCTCACCCACACTCACGTGAACACGCACTCTCAGACACTCACGCACATACACACACACACGCACGCAGCACAGGACGGGTGCAGGGGGCGCGTGTCCAGGAGAGGGAAGGCCCGCGGGCGGGCGGCTCACCTGAAGGTGAAGAGGGTCCCCATGTCCAGCATGGACAGCAGCTCCGCCTTGGACTTGGGGAAGGAGAGACGATAGCGCAGCGTCTCGAAGGCAGGCACGATCATCGCTTTCTTGGTGTTGGCCAGGTCCAGCTGGACGACAGACTTCCTGCAGGGGACAGTGGCACACAGAGGTCACCCTGAGGGCGGGAGGCGGTGCAGGGAGGGCCCGGAGAGAAAGGCCACCATGACGAGCCGAGCCCCGTGTGGAGAGGGGAGACCCGGCTGGGCTTTACTGCATCTCGGCTGCAACTGCAGCCTTGGCGTGGGCACTTAGATTCGGGCTCACCCAAAAGTGCTCAGAGCCAGTGTGGCTTCAAACAACACGCAGACACATACACACACATACACACACACAGAGACATTGCACACACATACACACACATGCACACACAGACACATACATGCACTCACACAGACACACACACACACATGCACACACACATGCGCACACACACATACACAAACACACACACATGCACACATGTCCACAGACACACAGGCACACAGACTCAGTCACACAGACTCACAGACACGCACACACGCACACACACACACACACACACACTCACACACACACAGACAGACCACCATCGCCAAGCGCCAGGAGCTGGCAGGCAGGGTCAGCGCCCAGGGCCTGCAGAGGCTGGATCAGCCCAGGGGAGCATCACCAGGGGTGCTCAGGGCTCACCTTTTCCCGCAAGAAGAGAGGCAGCTTTGCAGAAGGGGCGGGGACCACACTTTCCAGGCTGTTGCAAGGGGGTGCAACAGCTGAGGTAGACCACAGGAAGCTGCTCCCTCCTGCGCGCTTGCCCGCTCGCTCCCCAGAAGCCCAGAACCCCCAGCCTGCCCACACCTGACCCGAGCGTCAGAGCGTGGGAGCGGGAGGGGAAAGCGTCTCTCTGGCCACAAGGGGGCGCCATCACCCCGCAGCCAGGATTCTGGGCGCAGCGGGAGCAGAGCCAGGACCCTGGGTCCATCCCTGGTCCCTGCGGCTGGGTGCCAGGCTCTCCCCCGTGCCCAGCCCGCCCCTTCTTCATGGGTTAGATGCTGCCGCCCCTGTTCCCACCCTGGGGATCTGTAACAGAGGCCGGGGGGGGGGGGCTCCTCACTGCCTAAGGAAGTGGGGTTCAGGCAGGGGGGGGAGGCCCGAGAGTGGCCGGGGGACAGGGAAGGTCCTTTACGAGTAGGAATGATAAAGACAGAAGCAGGGCACATGGTCACTCTCACACGGGACACTCACACTCTCACTCACACACATACACTTATACGCTCGCATGCACACACACACTCACGCCCATACACACTCTCACACATTCACATACGCATACACTCATTCGCATACTCACACTCACATACACACACCCTTACATTCACACCCACACACCTATACACACTCTCACACATTCACACACATGCACACACACTCTCATTCACACTCATACACACACACTCATATACACACATTCACATTCACACACATACACACACAGTCATACACATATTCATACACTCGCATACACACACACTCACACCCATACACTCACACTCACTCATTCACTCATACACACACTCTCTCACACACGCACTTACATTCACATTCATACACCCATACACATTCTCACACATTCACCCATATTTACACACTCACACATATGCGCACACACTCACACTCATCCACGCTCATACACATGCACACATTCACACAGTCACATTCTCACACTCACACACTCACACACCCACACATCATTCATACACACACTCACATTCTCACACTCATTCCACACTCACCCACACACTCACACACTTGCATACAACACTTTCACATTCACATACACCCCTGCACACTCTCACACATTCACACACACTCACATTCACACACATTCACTCACTCGTACACACACTCACGCTCATACTCACACACGCTCACACCGGCACACACACGCAGGAGGGAGCGAGATCAGGCCAGGAAGCCTAGATGGGGCCTAGGCCACCGCTTCAAGGTCAGGGTACACACTTGGCACGGGACAGGTACAAGGATCTGAGTCCACCCATCCCTCGAGCACCACCAGGTGTGAACCCGTGCTGCTTGGGGAGACCTCTCCCGCGCCCCCATCAAAAAAAAAATCAAGCCCTGGGCAGTCGGACCAGGGGCAGCGCCCAGCATCAGGGGTGCAGATGCTGGGGCCAGCAGGACACCTGGGGCCACGCCCCTCCCTGTTTCCATGGAGACAGCCCCGCCCCTCTCGCGGTACCTGTCCCGGCTCCCTGGGCAGCAGAGATGGGTCGTGCCCAGCTGGGACAAGAAGAAGGGGTTGGAGAAGCAAAGCGGGAGCACCCGGGGTGGGGGAAGGGGGGACGTGTCCAGTGAAGACTTGAGAGCTCAGAAGACTCTAGTGGACGTTCATTATGGTCCAGCGCTGCCCCTCCACCTGGGGAGCGCGGGGCAGTGCGTGTGGGGGGGGGAAGGGGGGAGGCGTGCATGACGGTGACCGCCTCGTGGCGCTGGTGGACGGGTCTCCCTCCCGCTGCCCCCTGCACAGCCCCGGGTTGGGGGTGTTGGGGGGGACAGAGCCCCTGCTGGGAACTTTGGGAACTGCAGGACCACGGTGGCATTCTATGGGTCACAGCGGGACAGGGAGCTGCCCTTGCATCCAGCCTACCTGGGTCCCATCCCTGGCACCCCATATGGTCTCCGGAGGCCCCCGGAGTGGCCGGTCCCTGAGGGCAGGGTCAGAGGAGCAAGCCCTGAACCCCGCCGGGTGTTGCCCACAAACCAAAGAAGACAGGGCCATCTTTCTAGAAGGCCAAGATGAAGGCTGTCTGTGCAGAAGTGCGAGAGAGCTGAGCCCGGTTTCCCTGGAGCTGGGAAGTAGCATGAGAACCGACCAGGAAGGTGTGTGGGAGGCCAAGTCCTGCCACCCGCATTTCCCAAGGCAGTCTGGGACCTCCTTGCACTGCGGGGAGGGGCTGTCAGTGGGTCAGACTGGGGGGTGGGGTGGGGAACTGCATTGGGTGTTGGCTACACCGTCTATATACACAGTGCAATCAGAGCGACAGAGAGAGAGAAAGAGAAAAGAGGAAAGAGAAAGGGAGAGAGAAGAGGGAAGGAGAAGAGAGAGGGAAGAGAGAGAAGAGGTAGGAGAGGGAGGAGAGAGAGGAAGAGAGGGAGAAGAGAAGAGAGGAGAGACAAGAGAGAGAGGAAGAGAGAGGACGTGCTGCCATCATTTTTGCTACACACAGTGGAATCTTAGAAAGAGAGGAGAGAGGAAGAAAGAGAGAGAAGAGGGAGGAGAGAGAAGAGAGGGAGAAGAGAGAAAGAGGAATAGAGGAAGAAGAGAGGAAGAGAGAAGAGAGGAAATGAGAGAGAAGAGGAGGAGAGCGAGGGAGAAGAGAGGGAGAGAGAGAAAGAGAGGAAGTGCTGCCATCATTTTTGCCACACACAGTGAAATCTTAGAGAGGGAAGAGAGAGGAAAAGAGAGAGAGGAGGAGAAAGTATTGCCATCATTTCTGCAACCACACGGATGAACCCAGCAGGATGGTGCTTTGTGAAATAAGTCAGACAGAGAAAAGGCAAAGGGAATGGAGCACCACAATGGAGCAGACGAGAAGGACGAAATTGAGGTTGCCAGGAGGGAAGGGTCAGGTGGGGGTGGGGTGATAGGTGGGGTGTGTTGGGAACGGGGCCAGGTGGACGGTCACAGCTGGACTCTGGGTGCCCCAGATGGGAACTTTGGGAATTGCAGGGCCACGGTAGAACCCTATAGGTCGCAGCAGACAGGGAGCTGGCCTTGCATGTAGCCAAGCTGGGTTCCATCCCCGGACTCCTGAGGTTCTCTGGGGGCACGGATAGGACTGCACCCCGAAACGCTACAAATGCTGCAAACCTAAGCTCCTTCAACACTTTTTTTTTTTTTGCATTTGGGTCCTCACTTGGTGATGCTCAGGGCTCACTCCTGGCGATGCTCGGGGCTCCCGGGTACCACAGATGTGGGCAGGCCCCGTGCCAGGGCCGTGCCTCCCCCGATCCCCCGACCCCCTCGGGCCTCACCTGAGGTACTCGTAGAGACCGTACATGGGCAGGAAGTCGATGTCCGACAGGAACACGTAGGGCGTGGCCACGTGCTTCATGGCCACGTTGCGCAGCAGGTTCACGGGGTAGAACTGGCCCTCCTTGTACACCACGTGGTAGGCCACGTTGCGGCGGCTCATCAGCACCTCGGAGCCCTGCGCGTAGCGGAGGAACTGCTGCGCCTCGGCATCCGACAGGTACAGTGCCAGGCTGATGGGCCCTTCCCAGTGCTTGCAGATGGCCTCGAGCATCTGGAGCCTGCGAGACAGCGGGGGCGGGAGGGGTGGGCACTCTGTCCCCGCAGACCCCGCCTCAGACCCCCAGACCCGGCCTTTTCCTTCCCCTCCTGCTCTGCGCATGCATTTTTTTTTCTTTTTGGATGCTCAGGGCTTACTCCTGGCTCCGCACTCGGGAATCATTCCTGGAGCCTATGGGATGCGGGGGATCGAACCGGGATGGGCTACCTGCAAGACAAATGCCCTCTCTGCCGTGCTATCGCTCTGGCCCCTGTGCGTGATTTTTTTTAATTAATTTTTTTAATTAGTGAATCACTGCGCCACATCTTATCATTTCATTTCATTTCATTTCATCATCCTGTTAATCGTCGATTGCCTCGAGCAGGCCCCAGTAACGTCTCTTTCATCCTAGCCCTGAGATTATATTCAAGGCTCTTTAGGAGAATGAGACCCATCATTGTTACTGGTATTTGGCATATTTGGTACGCCACGGGGAGTTTGCCCACATCTTATCAGGACATCTTTTTATGACATCTTATTATCTCATACCTACTTTGGACAAACTTGCAGGCTATTGAATGTAGCCTGCCCACAGGGCAGAGTCTGGCAAACTCCCCGTGGCGTACCAAATATGCCAAATACCAGTAACAATGATGGGTCTCATTCTCCTAAAGAGCCTTGAATATAATCTCAGGGCTAGGATGAAAGAGACGTTACTGGGGCCTGCTCGAGGCAATCGACGAATAACAGGATGATGAAATGAAATGAAAATGAAATGAATCACCATGAGGTACAGTTCCAGACTTGCACAGTTCGTGCCTGCATTTCTGTCATACAATGATCTAGCACCCATCCCCCCACCAGTGCCCATTTTCCACCACCAATGGTCCCAGCATCCCTTTCACCACCACTCCCACTCTGTCCCCCCCACCCCACCCACCTCTGTGGCAGGGCATTCCCTTTTGCGCTCTCTCTCTCTCTCTCTCTCTCTCTCTCTCTCTCTCTCTCTCTTCTTTTGGGTGTTGTGGTTGGTGCATGAATTTTCATGCATCCCCAAACCTTAGTTGTTAGATCTGTAAAATGGTCTATCATTTCACAACCTCTGCTTCCAAACGACATGTAGAGAGTGACCTCGCTCTCAGAGCCCCCCTCTTGAGGGGTGCGGGCAGGAAGATCAGATTAATGGTCCAAATATCTCCCCACCTTTTTTTTTGGGTCACACCCGGAGATGCACAGGGGTTCCTCCTGGCTCTGCACTCAGGAATTACTCCTGGTGGTGCTCGGGGGACCCTATGGGATGCTGGGAATTGAACCCGGGTTGGCCTTGTGCAAGGCAAACACCCTACCCGCTGTGCTGTTGCTCCAGCCCCCAAATATCTCCCCCTTTTTTACGGGGGGTCATACTTAGTGTTGTGAGGGGGTCACTCCTGATGGTGACCAGAAGACCACGTGGTACTGGGGATGGAGCCCAGGCCTCCTGTTTGTGGACCCTCCCGCAGCCTGTTGGGGTCATGGCCGGGTCCATGGCTGGACAATTCCCCCCAGGGGCCCTGGTTCCCTCCCTGAGCAGAGTACACAGCAATGTGGCTGAGAGCAGTTCAAACCACCCAACTGTGCGGCCTCGAGACTCCTGCCACCAACGTCCCAGTGACACAGATGTGGGGCAGTAATGAAATTGGACTCTGCATCAGGGCCACAGAACCCAGGTCCAGTGAAACGGCCGCTTCCGGATGGGCTTAGCGGGAGGGGTGGAACGGAGGTAAGGGAGACCGGGGGAACCCCGAGAAAAGGGGGAAGGCGGCAAAGTCTGGGAGGAAAAATGCCTCCAAGTGGCAAAACTTCCGGGAAGCAGCCGGAAGCTGTGGTGGAAGTAGCACGAATGAGCCAAAGTGACACAGCGGTCACTGCTTCCTGCGGGCGCCGATGGGGGTCCCGGCTGTGCGCCCATCACACACACACACACACACACACACACACACACACACACACACACCCCACCCCTTTCGCGCAGGCACTTGGAGTCTGAGGCTCAGTCCCTCCCTCGAGGCGCGGGGAGTCGCACCTGTCCATGGACAGCTGGGCCACCAGTGTGACGTCCGTGGGGCCGGCGGGCGGCTCGTACTCGTAGTGCAGGAAGTAGAGGTGCGTGCGGTGCACGGTGAAGCGCTCCCGCCGGAACTCGTAGCACAGGTCGTCCTCATCCAGCTCCGACAGCTGCTTCTGGAGCTGGGAGGAGGAGACGGGGAAGGGTGCTCTGGAGTCAGGGGGCACCCGCTGTCCCCCATCCTGAGGGCTGGGTGGCTGCGGAGGAAACGGCCCGCTGCTCTGTGTCCCTCTGTGATTTTGGTATTGTTTTAGAAGGAAGGGGAGGAGGGAGAGAAGGGGAAGAGGAGAGAGAAGAGGAGAAAGGGGAGGAGGGAAGGAAGGGGAGGAGGAAGAGGAGGAGAAGAGAAGGGAGAGGAGGAGGGGGAGGAGGGAGAAGAGGAGGAACAGAGGAAGGAGAAAGGGGTGGAGGAGAAGGGGAAGGAGAGGAGGGAGAGATGAGGAGGGAGAGAAGGGGATGAAGGAGACAAGAGAGGAGAAGAGGAGGAAGGGGAGGAGGGAGAGGAGAGGAGGAGGGAGAAGAGGAAGGGGATGAGGGAGAGGAGAGGAGGGGGAGAGGAGGAAGGGGAAGAAGAAGAGGAGGGGAGGAGGGAGAAGAGGAGGAAGGGGAGGAGGGAGAGGAGAGGAGGAGGGAGAAGAGGAAGGGGATGAGGGAGAGGAGAGGAGGGGGAGAGGAGGAAGGGGAAGAAGAAGAGGAGGGGAGGAGGGAGAAGAGGAGGAAGGGGAGGAGGGAGAGGAGAGGAGGAGGGGGAGAGGAGGAAGGGAAAGAGGGAGAGGAGGGGGAGGAGGGAGAAGAGGAGGAAGGGGAGGAGGGGGAGAGGAGGAAGGGGAGGAGGGAGAGGAGAGGAGGAGGGGGAGAGGAGGAAGGGGAAGAGGGAGAGGAGGGGAAGGAGGGAGAAGAGGAGGAAAGGGAGGAGGGAGAGGAGGAGGGGGAGAGGAGGAAGGGGAGGAGGGAGAGGAGGAAGCGGAGGAAGGGGAGGAGGGAGAGGAGAGGAGGAGGGGGGAGAGGAGGAAGGGGAGGAGGGAGAGGAGGAGGGGGAGAGGAGGAAGGGGAGGAGGGAGAGGAGGGGAAAGAGGGAGTAGAGGAGGTACAGAGGAAGGAGAGAAGGGGAGGAGGAGGAGAAGGAGAAAGAGGAGGAGCGGAAGGAGGAAGGGGAGAAGGGAGAATTAGGAGGGAGGAGGGAGGACGGGAGGAGGAGGAGGCGGGATGGGGCTGGGAAGGAGGAGGGGGAGGAGGGGAGAGGTGGTCTTAGACCATCTCTCAGTCCTAGACATGAGCTTGCTCTGAGCTGAGACGGCGGTGTCAGAGCGCCGCCGAGGGCTGACTGACCCACAGACACACAGACAGACACACAGACAGAAGGGTGCCCAGGAGCAGCGGTTCTCTGGGACCCCAGGGGATTCCCAGGAGGCCACAGGTGAGAACCGCATGGGGGAGGGGCAGGCACCAACCTGGGGTCTAACCCTTAGGACCTGGGGACAGCAGGCAGGAAGGGAAGCGAGCCGCCCCCCCCCCGCCCCCCCCTGCCGGCTGGGAAAGCTGCCTGTGGGGGCGCGTTTGCCCCACCGCGTGGGCTCTGCCTTATTGATGTTGCCCTGCGCACACACTTGGGCTTCATGGAGGACGGGGGCGCGTGGGTCGGACCCTCAGGAGGGAGACACAGCCACAGCCGGGATGGGCCTCAGCTTCAGGGCATGGCATCCAGCATGCGGGGCTTGGTTGGGGGTGGGGGGGTCAGTTACCGCCCCAGGTGCGGCCCACCCGCGGCCCACCACACTCCAGCTTCTGCCGGATCCCTAAGTGTGCCCGCGGCTTCCCAGGTGACGCCACGTGGGGACCAGCTGAGACCCAGAGACTCCGGCGTTTCTCTGGGTGTTGAACTCATGCAGCTGCGACCCGCGCTGGAGTTGCTGCCCGCCAGGCCCCAGGCAGCTCGGCTCGGCTCAGGCAGCTGCACTTGCATCCCAGCTAAGTGACACAAGTGACCCAAGTGACCCATTTCGGACCTGGAGGATTGGGCCCAGATCTCCTGACAGACACCCGTGGCTCCCTGCTACGCTACACTCACTCCCGGAGTCCCGCTCCCCGCGCCTACCCAGCCCCAACCTTCCCTCTGAGCAGGCCCTCATACCCAGGTCAGAGGACTCGCATCAGGACCAGCTGGGGGCGTGGCCTCCACTGTGGGGGGCGTGGCCTCCACTGTGGGGGGGCGTGGCCTCCCCGAAGTGGGCGTGGACTTCTGTGTGGCCGCTGACCGGAGTTCTATTTCCCACTCCCTGCACTCTGGACTCAAACCCCAACCTTTATCACCTGATTCTGTGGGGAAAAGTCCTGGCCGCCTCAAACACAATACGACAACAATCCCCCGGCCTACTCCAATTCCAACAGAAGACCAGTGTACCCAAGAAGCTGTACAAGCCAATATAAAAGAGCACCTCCTCCAACGCTTCACTAGATGGCTATCATAAGCCGCAGAATAACGTCTGAGAGGAAGGACAGATTCCAGAAGGGGAGAAGACTGACCACCATTGGCCGACCTTATTCAGAATCCTTTCCCGCAGTACGAGGGAACAGTGCTAGTGAACTTGAAGCCTTTACTTTTATAACAACCACAACAGCACGAGGAAACAGCGCAAATCCCCACTGCGAGGAGAGGACGAGGAACAGAGTCCCAAATCCTCAATAGGGGTTACCCACAAATACGATCTCTCTGATAAAGAATTTCGAGATGAAATGCTCAGGATGTCCAAGGAACTACTCAAAGAATCAATGGAGCTGACATCCAGAAAATTAAAGGAAGAAATGAAAGAAACAGTGGAACGGATAGTCGAGAAAATACAGGAAGAAATAAGAGCAGAAATAAGCCCACAATGGAACGTGTGATCTCCCCCTCTGTGCGACCCACCCTGTACCCGGGGACCTTCTGGGAACCTCTCAGGGTTCGGCACCAACTCTGGAGGGGAGACTTGTCCTGCCAGCCAGCCAGAGCAGGTCCCCAGGGTCCGCGGTCCATCACTCCACCAGGACGTTGATGGGAATGACTTCAGGGGCGTGCCTGGTTGGCCGTGTCCAGACCCCCATGTCCAGAGACGAGGGAGACGTGTGGGGCTGTGTGAAGCGACAGAGTGGGAAGGCTGGGGTTCTCATGTGAGGCGTTAGGAAAGCTCACGCTTCTGACCTTAGGAAGAACATTTGTTTTTGATTCTTTTTTTGGCTTTTTGGATCACACCCAGTGATGCTCAGGGGTTACTCCTGGCTCTGCACTCAGAAATTACTCCTGGCGGTGCTCAGGGGATCCTGTGGGATGCCGGGGATCAAACCCGGGTTGGCTGCATGCAAGGCAAATGTCCTCCCCGCTGTCTTATTGCTCCATACCAGGAAGAATATTTGTGTTCTTTGGAACATGAGAAATGTGTGTGTGAGTGTTGTACGTTGTGCTTTGTGTGTGCCTGTGTTGTGTGTTTTGCTCTCCCCTATAATCATGCATCGCCCAGTTAAGGGGTGGGGGGCAACTATTCCAGATCCTGTCTCTTCATCTCTGAATTTCCCGCACCCAGATCATTGAGAAAGTCTGGTAAGTTCTACTGGAGAAACTCAGATATGTCCACGGCCACTGCACATTAAGGGAGGGCAGAGTGGGCTGGAGTGAGTACAGTGCATAAGACAGTCGTGTGCAGCTACCCCAGTTCAATCCCTGGCACCACGTATGATCCCCGAGCACTGCGAGAGTGATCCCTGGTTCCGGAGTAAGCTCCGAGCACTGCTGGGATGTGACCTCCTCACCCCAATAAAAAAAGAAGGAGATTAGGGGCCGATGAAAGTGCTTCAATGGAGGGCAGTTGGGATAGAGAAAGGACCAGTATGACAATGAGTGTTGGAAAGGATCACACTGGACAGGAACTGAGTGCTGAAAGGAGGGAAAGGGATACACGTGATGACCTTTCAGTATCTGTATTGCAAACCATAATGCCCAAAAGGAGAGAGGGAGAGAGGTGAGAGAGAGAGAGGGAGAGAGAGGGAGAGAAAGGAGGAGAGAGGGAGAAAGAAAGGGAGAGAGGGAGACAGAGAGAGGGAGAGAGAAAAGAAAAGTGCCTGCCATAGACAGGGTGGGATGTGGGAGGGAAACTGGGGATATTCGTGGTGGGAAATGTGCACTGGTGATGGGATGGGTGTTGGAACATTGTATCACTGAAACCCAATCATGCACAACTTTGCAACTGTGTTTCTCACAGTGATCTAATTAAAAAAAGAGAGAGAGAGAAAGGGGAGATCCCTGGTGAATACTGTGGGCTTCTTTCTTCTTCACCCCTCACAAATTCCCTGCCGCTTTCTCCAATGCACAGACACACTCAGAGCTGCTTCAGTTTCCTGAAAAGTGTCTCCCAGACCCTCTGCCACGTTTAGGATGAAATTGCATCATGCACCTTTCCTAAATCCAATCCCGCTCCTGTGAACAAACCACAGGGCTGACTGAATCTCAGGAGAAAGACACGGGAGCACTCTCAAAGCTGTCTCCATGGACCTCTGGGAGACCCTCTCTGCTCCCCCACTTTTTAATTTTATTATCTATTTATTTTGCTTTTTGGGTCACACCCGGCGATGCTCAGGAGTTACTCCTGGCGTGTGTACTCAGGAATTACTCCTGGTGGTGCTCGGGGGATCATATTGGATGCTGGGAATCAAACCCGGGTCAGCCGCGTGCAAGGCAAATGCCCTACCCGCTGTACTATTGCTCCAGCCCCAAGTTAAATTTTTTTCTTTTTGGGTCACACCCGGCGATGCACAGGGGTTACTCCTGGCTCTGTGCTCAGGAATTACCCCTGGCGGTGCTCAGGGGACCATATGGGATGCTGGGGATCGAACCCGTGCCCGCTGCATGCAAGGCAAACACCCTCCCCGCTGTGCTATTGCTCCAGCCCTCACTTTTTTTTTTTTTTATTTTTAATGAACAGAATCCACAAGCTTGGGCACAGCCACATGCCACGTTCTGGCCACTCAGGAGGAGCTCAGGCTCCTGACAAGTGAGCCACAGACACAAAAGACAGATTTCTCCCACCATCGCGTGCATTTTGCTAAATTGCTTCTCTGGGCAGCCGGCCGAGGCACGGGGCGATTCTGGACTCCGGGGGAAATGGCCCCGCAAGCACTTTTCATTCATTTCCTCCCATCCTTCAGGACCGTGAACTCCGCTGACCCCAGAACAGGCCGAGATGATGGCTGGCCAGGCCTGAGGATTCACAGGGGTTGGGGGTACTCCCCCCACCCCCGCCTGCTGCCATGGCTCTGCTCAAAGGCAGGAGAAATGACAGCGATTAGGGAGATCACTGGGAACCGAGTCGAGATACCACTGGCAACTCATCCTGATGTGACCTTGAATAAGTCACTTCTTCCAACAAGGAGGCAAGGAGCTGAGAAGGTGTGTGTCTGTGTGTGTGTCTCTGCGTGTGCATGTGCTATGTGCGTGTGCGAGTGTGTATATGTGTATGAGTGTGTGTCTATGTGTGTGCGCGCGCGTGTGTATGTGTGTGAATGTATGTATGTGTGTGCGAGTGTATGTAGATGTGTGTGTGTGTGTGTGTGTGTGTGTGTGTAGTAATCCCGGAGGCTCGTGTGTTCAGGAGGCAGCTCACGTGCAGAGTGCTGATACTCCAAACCTTTAGGTGAATTCCAGGAGCTCCCCTCAGCCTGTCCAACGGGGACGTTCGTCATCTGGGAGTTTCCAGGGAGTGGGAATGTCTGAAAAGATCTGGCTCTGGTGTGTGATGGGAAAGATACGTTTGCAGAAGGAATGGCTGGGGGCGGGCAGGGGGACGTGGGGGGGGGGAGATTCTAAAGATCCATGTGGTGATAACCTTTCAGTATCTATATTGCAATCACAAGCTTCAGCCCCTGTTTGCTGGGTCTTACGTTTTTTTTTTTTTTCACTTCCCAATGAGCTGTGGTCCTTGCGGCTGGTGGGTGGCCAGCATCCTGGCAATGGCTCTGGAGGGTGGACTTGGTGTGTGTGTGTGGGGGGGGGTGAGGTGGGATGTCCATCAGCCAATCAGAGCCGTGTCTGCCAGTCCATGGTGGCTCCCAATTCCCACATCTGCACCTCCCCGTAACGGCCGGGGCAGCCTCTGGCCAGGCCGTCGCATGGAGAGAAGACCAAGGCTCGGAGGAGACCCGAGTTTGTCCCAGCTGTCCCCGTGCCAGCGAGGCCCCTAGCCCGGGAGCCATGTCAACCCCAGGTGGAGTGCGGCGGGGAGGGCGGGAGTGGAGGTGGGTCTCGCTAGCACCACGAGACTTGGTTGGCATGAAGGACTTGCCATGGGTCATGGGTTCTGCCAACGGGCAAAGCACACGCCCATTGCTGCCAGGCGGGACCATCTGCAGATAAAAGCCCCAGCAGCCACAGCTGGGATGGGCCGAGACCTGCCCCATTTTCCCTCCGTGGGTGTTTGCACACGGCACTAAGCAGGCTGTGAAAACATTTCAGGGGTACAACACCCCCCACTCCTGCAAGATCCACGCTCGTGGTGGTGGGGGGAAGAGTCTGATGCTACGGACCATTTCCTGGCCACCCACCCCTGCCAAGGTGGGCAGCACTGCCAGGGCACAGGTAGCAAAGCTGTGCACAGGAGGGGCTGGAGCAGTAGCGCAGCGGGTAGGGCGTTTGCCTTGCACGCGGCCGACCCAGGTTCGATTCCCAGCATCCCATATGGTTCCCCTGAGCACCGCCAGGAGTGATTCCTGAATGCAGACGCAGGAGGAACCCCTGTGCATCGCTGGGTGTGACCCCCCAAAAAAGAGCTGTACACAGGGCCCCCCTGGTTAACGCTCACTCAGCGGCTCCCCTGTACTTGGCACCCACAAAATATCCCACACATTGTCACCATCCCCACCACCCCTGATCTGGGCCCCGCCTTCTCCTGGCACGTGCCACAGGCACTGGTCATTCTCTGCGCATCCTTGCCCAGAGACTTTTCTAGAATGGTAATTTCATGACACTCCAACCCTTGGCAGAGGGGCTGGGGTGTGTGAAAAGGATGGAGTCTTAGGCTCTTGCTCCCCCATTCCTTGTCCTGCCTGTTCTTCAATGCTGGGGATTTGAACCTAGGTCGGCTGCGTTCAATGCTGGGGATTTGAACCTGGGTTGGCCGCGTGCAATCACTCCAGCCCCAGGTTTTTTTTTTTCTTTTTGGGTCACACCCGGTGATGCTCAGGGGTTACTCCTGGCTCTGCACTCTGCACTCAGGAATTCCTCCTGGCGGTGCTCAGGGGACCATATGGGATGCTGGGAATTGAACCCGGGTCATCTGTGTGCAAGGCAAATGCCCTACACGCTGTGCTATGGCTCCAGCCCCAGGGTTTTACGTTATTAATAGCATTCTGTGCTCCAGCGTCTGGGTCGTTGGACCTGACATGATGATTCTGTTCCCTCCAGCTCTGTGCTGCTCCCCCCCCCCCCCCGCCTACTTTCAGAACTTAAAACCCCTCTCAGTTGAGCTCCGGGCTTGCAGGCTGACCCTGAATGATCTGCTTAGCCCGGCTGTGCCTTGGCTGCTTCTAGAAGCACCGGGAGGAGTAGAGGCAGGGAAGAAACCCGGGAAGCCGGATGGTCAGTGCTGCCTGGGGTTATCTGCCCCAACACTCTCTTCTCCCTGTGCTGACCCCAAAGGGGCACATTACTCAGGAAGTGCCACCTCTTCCATTGCATGGACCGCCCTGGACCCTGGGTCTCCAAGGCGGAGGAAACCAGGTCCACGAAGACCTTCGCTTCCCAGCTGTGCTCAGCTGTTTCACTGGTGTTCCCACTCACACGGATTCCTCTGCTTGGAAACGCATTCCTGACAACCCCCATTCTGGGCCACACCCTCCTCCACCTCTTCCTCCTCCTCCTCCTCCTGACACGCCCCACTCTGGGCCACACCCTCCTCCTCCTCCTCCTCCTCCTCCTGACACCCCCCACTCTGGGCCACACCCTCCTCCTGACACCCCCCACTCTGGGCCACACCCTCCTCCTCCTCCTCCTCCTCCTCCTCCTGACACCCCCCACTCTGGGCCACACCCTCCTCCTCCTCCTCCTGACACCCCCCACTCTGGGCCACACCCTCCTCCTCCTCCTCCTCCTCCTCCTCCTCCTGACACCCCCCACTCTGGGCCACACCCTCCTCTTCCTCCTCCTCCTCCTCCTCCTCCTCCTCTTCCTCCTCCTCCTCCTCTTCCTCCGGAGTCCAGAGACCATTACCGTCCATCTGGGAGGTGCCTTGAGCCAATCCCGCGGCCTGGTGCACGAATGGATCCCCCACCCCAACCCCGTCCATGTGAGTGGTCACTTACATTCTCGCTGTTGACGTCCGCCTCGCTGGGGCACCCAAAGAGCTCCCGCCGTAGAAGGTTCCCGTCGTACTCCAGGAAGGTCAGGTAGAGGTTGCGGAAAAACTCCACGTGCTTGTTCTTCACCCGCAGCTTCTTGGGGGAGTTCCAGTGAATGACCTGGAAGGGAGGTAGGGGGGAGGCGGTCAGCAGGGCGAGCCCAGGGCTGGGCGGGGAGATTACTGATGGGGTCGTGGCATTGATCTGTGGGTATAACAGGCCAGCGTGGACCTGGGCTTCTCTCATTTCATTTAATTTTGGGACTGTGGAGGCCATACCCAGCGGTGCTGGGGAGGGGGTCCTTCCCAGCTCACTGCTCAGGGTTCACTCTTGAGGGTGCTCAGGGCACCACGAGGTGTCGAAGACTGAACCAGGGTCTCCTGCACGCAAAGCATGTGCTCAGCCTCGGAGCTCTCTCTCTCTCTGGAGTACTGTTTATTTCTTTTTCTTTTCTTCTTTTTTTTTGCTTTTTGGGTCACACCCAGTGATGCTCAGGGGTTACTCCTGGCTCTGCGCTCAGGAATTATCTCTGGTGGTGCTCAGGGGACCAAATGGGGTGCTGGGAATTGAACCCGGGTTGGCCACGTGCAAGGCAAAACGCCCTACCTGCTGTGCTATTGCTCCAGCCCCAAGTATTGTTAATTTCTTAAGGGTTTATTGAATTTATCTCGAATTGTCCCTCACCCTCCCCTATCCCCACTGCTGCTATCTTTTTTTTGTGGGACTGGGTGTTTGGGTCACACCCAGCAATGCTCAGCCATTACTCCTGGCTCTGCACTCAGGAATTCCTCCTGGCGGTGCTCAGGGGACCAAATGGGATGCTGGGAATCGAACCCGGGTCAGACGTCTGCAAGGCAAATGCCCCACCTGCTGTACTATCACTCCAGCCCATTGTTGTCTTTTTTTTCCCCTTGCAATAACTGTAGGCCTGGGGATCAAACTCAAGATCTCATGCCTGCAAGGCAGGTTTTATCCCACTGAGCATCGCCAGGCTTTTTCCTATGTATTCTCTAATTCTCACAATGGCCCAAACTAGGAAAACCATCTTTTTTTTTTTTTTTGCTTTTTGGGTCACATCTGGCGATGCTCAGGGGTTACTCCTGGCTCATGCACTCAGGAATTGCTCCTGGTGGTGCTCGGGGGACCATATGGGATGCTGGGAATCGAACCTGTATGGGTCATCTTGGCTGTGTGCAAGGCAAACGCCCTACCCGCTGTGCTATCGCTCCAGCCTGGAAAACCATCTTAAAGATGGGAAAAGATGGGCCAGAGTACAGGGGGTCAAGGCTGTTGCCTGGTATGGAGCTGACTTGGGTTTTAATCTCTGGCGCCGCATATAGTCTCCTGAGCACCATCAAGAGGGATTCTCTGAGCACAGAGCCAGGAGTATGTCTTTAGGACTGATGGGTGTGCCCTCCTTTGCCCCGCCCCCAAAGGGGAAAGAAACAAAGAAATAAGAAAAAGAAGATAGGAAAAAAGAAAGGAGAAAGAAGGAAAGAAAGAGAAAGAAGAAAGAAGCAAAGAAAGAGAAGACAGGAAGGAAGGAAGGAAGGAAGGAAGGAAGGAAGGAAGGAAGGAAGGAAGAAAGAGGCCCTTGCTATCAATGCCTGAGTACTGTGCTTACACTTTGCTTCGAACATAGCACACACCTGAGCCCACAGCCCTCCGTCTTTCCCACAGAGAACAGGAGAAGCCAGGTTTGAGAGCGAAGAGAGGACAGGTCTTCTCTCTAGTCAGTCCCCTCCCTCCTCCCCCTACTCCACCTCTTGACTGGGCGGCATCAGGAACAGGACTGGTGACGTCCATTTACAGGTAAAGGAGAGGCCTAGACACCTGGGGCGGGACCCGGACCCATCACCTTTTTTCTGTCCAATTAACTCTCCCCTTCAATCTACTGAGTTTTTTTTTTTCTTTTTGGGTCATACCCAGAGATGCACAGGGATCACTCCTGGCTCTGCACTCAGGAATTACTCCTGGCTCTGCTTGGGAGAACATAGGGGATGCTGGGAATCGAACCCAGGTCGGCCGCATGCAAGGCAAACGCCCTACCCACTGTGCTATTGCTCCAGCCCCAATCTACCAAGTTTTGTATGCAGATCTTTTCTAAAATTTGCAAGAACCCACCGGCGCAGGAAAATCTGCGTTTGCTCCAACAGTATGAACAACCAAGAACCCTCTACCCAACCAGACTATCATTCTGATTTGAAGACTCCAACAGAGATTCATAGAGATGCCCCAGATCAGGAACTCAACAGCTTTAAAACCAACTCTTTCAGGAGAATGGAAAGGGCTTCTTTAAGAAAAGACCACCCCTCCCCCCACACACACCCCCCAATACACATAACTTCTACAGAATGATGGCAAGAAACTTCTACCTGTCAATGCTGACAGAGACGAGCCAACGGAGGTGTGTGTGTGTGTGTGTGTGTGTGTGTGTGTGTGTGTGTGTGTGTCCCCAGAACTCTGCCTCTCCTTGGCTGGGTCAGCCTGTGAGGCCCTGACCTGCTCTCCAGAACGGACAGGAAGATTCTTCTCCCCCAGCCTCTCTCAGGATCCATGGTTACCTGGATGCCACAGCCCTTAAGCAAATCACACACATACACACAAACTCACACACACACACACACACACACAAGCCCTGCTAGACCATCTCCCTCCCTCCTGCGGACCCAGCCAACAGCAGGTGGGACCCTGTTTGGCGTGGAAACGTCTCCAGCGTCTGTGGCCAACAGCCACTCATTCAAGAGCAGAGCCAGCATGGGGCTCTGCGGACCCAGTTTGAATCTTTACAGCAGGCCTCAGTTTCCTCATAGGTGGGGTGTGGGGTCTGGACTGCTAACTTCACCAAGAGGGGCTGTATGCAGACCCCATAGGACTCTGCATATTGTGGGGACTTCTTGTAGGGGTCCACCCTGCCGAAGATGGAACAGTCAGCCCCCTACACCAGCAGCCCCTGCCCACCTTACCCCCATGTTTCCCTGGTGAGCCTTGCCTGGGTGCCCCCATGTTTGCCCGGTGCTCCTTGCTGCATGCTTGTTCGGTACGCCTGGGTGTCTGCCCACTGAGCCTTGCTGTGGCACAAAGTCAGGGCATAGGACTGATTTGTGGAATATAAAATAACATCAAATGATACTGACACCCAAGGACAGTAGAGACAAGGGCCTGGAAGATTGCTCCATGGTTGGAAGCCTGCCTCATGAGCTGGGGGAGAAGGCAGCTGGGATAGAGAAGGGATCACCAAGTCAATGATGGTTGGAGGGATCGCTCGGGATGGGAGATGTGTGCAGAAAGTAGATAAAGGACCAAATGTGGTAGTGTCTCAGTATCTTTATTGCAAACCATAATGCCCCAAAGTAGAAAGAGAGGAATGGGGGAAATTGTATGTCATAGAAGGGGAGGGTTAGGATGGGGTGGGATACTGGGGACATTGGTGGTGGAGAATGCACACTGGTGGAGGGATGGGTGTTCAATCATTGTATGACTGCAACTCTAACATGAAAGTTTTGTAACTGTACCTCACGGTGATTCAATAAAAAAGAAAGAAAGAAAGAAAGAAAGAAAGAAAGAAAGAAAGAAAGGAAGGAAGGGAGAGAGAGAAAGAAAGAAAGAAAGAAAGAAAGAAAGGAAGAAAGAAAGGAAGGAAGGAAAGGAGAGAGAAAGAAAGAAGGAAAGAAAGAAAAAGAAAAAAGAAAAGAAAGAAGGAAAGAAAAAGAAGAAAAGAAAGGAAGGAAGGAAAGGAGAGAGAAAGAAAGAAGGAAAGAAAGAAAAAGAAAAAAGAAAAGAAAGAAGGAAAGAAAAAGAAGAAAAGAAAGGAAGGAAGGAAATAAAGGAGAGAGAAAGAAAGAAGGAAAGAAAGAAAGAAGAAAAGAAATAGAAAGAAAGAAGGAAAGAAATAAAAAGAAAGAAGGAAAGAAAGAAACAGAAGGAAAGAAAGAAAGAAGGAAAGAAAGAGAAAGAAAGAAGAAAAGAAAGACAAAGAGAGAAAGAGAGAAAGAGAAAGAAAAAGGAAGGAAGGGAGAGAAAGAAAGAAGGAAAGAAAAAAAGAAAGAAGAAAATCAAGAAGGAAAGAAAAAGAAGAAAAGAAAGGAAGGAAGGAAAGGAGAGAGAAAGAAAGAAGGAAAGAAAGAAAGAAAAAGAAAGAAGGAAAGAAAGAAGGAAAGAAACAGAAGGAAAGAGAGAAAGAAGGAAAGAGAAAGAAAGAAGAAAAGAAAGAAAAAAGACAAAGAGAGAAAGAGAGAGAAAGAGAAAGAAAGAAAGGAAGGGAGAGAAAGAAAGAAGGAAAGAAAAAAAGAAAGAAGAAAAGAAAGAAGGAAAGAAAAAGAAGAAAAGAAAGGAAGGAAGGAAAGAAAGGAGAGAGAAAGAAAGAAGGAAAGAAAGAAAGAAAAAGAAAGAAGGAAAGAAAAAAAGGAAAGAAGGAAAGAAATAAAAACAAAGGAAAGAAATAAAAAGAAGAAAAGAAAGAAGGAAAGAAACAGAAGGAAAGAGAGAAAGGAAAGAAAGAAGGAAAGAAAGAGAAAGAAAAAGAAAGACAAAGAGAAAGAGAGAGAAAGAAAGAAAGAAAGAGAAAGAAAGAAAGAAAGAAAGAAAGAAAGAAAGAAGAAAGAAAGAAAGAAAGAGAAAGAAAGAAAGAAAAAGTCGGGGCGCAGGAGTTTGGCACTTTGAGCTGACACCTGCATGGGGGGCAGGGTAGGGGTGGGGTGGGGCGGGAGGATGTGTGTGCGGGGCTCCGGGCTCTGTCTCCTCTCCGTGCCTGCAGAAGGGGAAGTAGCTCCCCGGGAAGTAGAAGACCCCACCTGGCTGGCCAGCCGCCACCAGCGGCCATGCACACATTGCACTAGTCACGCGTGGGCTGGCATCCCCCTCTCCCGGGGGTGGCGGGGGGGGGGGGGCTGTGCGTCTCTGCGGCAGGGAGTCTGGTCCTTGCCAAGTGCTGAGCCAGCAGCAGTTTTGACTGATGAGCCTGACTCAGGAAAGCCGCGCTGCCTCCACAGGGAGGAAACTTTGCAGAGAAGGTTCCCAGACAGACACAGCTTTGAACTTCCGGTGCACCCACCTGGCAGGCATGTGGGGACACGGCTTCTCTGCAACTCTTCCAATCAAGCTCACAGAGCCCCGTGATC